TTTTCATGATTTTTGTGATACTTGTAACTTTTTATGAGGAGTTCGTAGAAAACTCGGCGATCTTTCATTTTGCTCAGAATTTTGTGCTCTTTAAGATGGCATCGTTCAAGAATAGCTCTAGCAAAGTCTTCTAGAACTTGAAAAATACCGTGTTCGGTTTTTTAGGAGCTTTACCGTCATTGTTCATCTGTAAAATCTTGTTATAAAGTGTATTGGATAGAAAACTTCATTAGCTTTTAAAATCACTATTTGGATTGAAGCTACGTGCTTAACATTATGAAAAAAATCGTTGTTTCTAAACTTTTTTCTATCACTTTATTAAATAAACATACGTATTTAATTCTACATTTTTCTTTTCTTATTTACCTTATTATCTTTGACCGATAGAATAGTTTCATTTAAATAAGGAAATGAAATATTAAAACCAGTTGCCATAAGAATACAATCGATATGATCAATTTGTGTACCATCTTCGAATATTACACCATGACCATCAGATGTAAATTCTTTTACATTTGGTTTTATTATTACTAAACCAGATAAGATTCGATTAGGTAAATCATCATTAATGAATGGATGTTGTTCTAGAAATTAATGAACATATGATAATAAAAACAAAAAGAGAAATCACCTACGTAAAGGACGATGATTAGGTTTAAGACTATATAATTCATGATCAAATTTTTTACTTAATTCTCGTTCGATTAATCGATTCATTAACCAAGGAGAATATTTCTGAATTGTTGCAAGAATTGTATTCGTTCGATACATATCTACTGGCCATCAATTAGGTCCAACTCGATTATAGACCCATGTACCACGACGAGTACTTACATAAACCTAATATTTTATTATAATAAAAACAAAAAAAAAAAGAATATCATTATTAATACCTGTTTAGCAATATGTCCTAATTCTACAGCCATATCACCTGCTGAACTTCCAATACCAATGATAAGAACTGTTTTATCTTCAAAACCATGAGGTGTTTTATATTGCCAACTATGTAGTTTTTCACCTAAATTAATTAATTTATCCATACTATCATTTTTTATTCTATATGAAAAAACAAAAAAAACTTACCTTTAAATTTATCTAAACCTGGAAATGTTGGTAATCTTGGATATGCATGATGTCCAGTAGCTAACATTACTGCATCAAATTTTTCACATATTTCATTTTTCTCACCTGTATCAATACTATATATTAACCAACATCCTGTTTTTTCATAATCATTAGTTGGTTCAATTCGAATTACACGTCGTCGAAATCGAATATATTTCATAAGATTAAATTTTAATGCATACATTCGATAATATTCTAATAATTTTGTATTATGCATATAATTTGCATAATCAATAGGTGGTGGAAAATCACTAAAAGCCATAAATTCTTTTGATGTATTAACTTCAGTCGATTTCATAACACTTGCTTTTCCATCAATAGCATTGGCGTCATAGTTCCATAATCCACCAATATCGTTAGTCATTTCATAACATGTTGGTAACAGATCACCATCTAAGCAACATTTTATGGATATTAGACCACTAACACCACCACCAATAATTGCTACAGTTTGCATTCTGAAATATATGAAAATAAACAGTTCTTAAAAATTTTTCTTTTATATATGGAAGTGGCGAGTGAAGGATATCTCAATCGAAGTAATATGAAATTGTTGTCAAATATACTTCACACGTGTAGACCAAATAAATATCTACCTTTTGAGCCCTATAGACTGATAGGAACGATGTATCTCAAATGTTTTTTTTGATATCATATAATTCAAAATATTTCATTTAGATTTTGCTTCCATAATTCACTTATCACATGGAAGGTATTCATGAATTTTCGAGAGTATACAATGCAGTCATTCGATATGGTATTTATTTCGAGTCCAACATTAGATTGAAAACCTTAAATAATTTTTTAACATAAGACGTTGCATTGAAACTGTAGGAGATCGAGAAAAGGGTAAACTTTATTATCATGAAAAAAATCCAACAAATTATGGATTTAAAGTACATGTAACCTGTAGCTTTCAACATAAAATTATTCATGTGTCTCAATGCTACCATGGAAGTGTACACGATCTCACAATTTTAAGAGAATCAGGATTATTAATGAATACTAGAAAAGATGTTCAAATAATAATGAAGATTTTCCTAATGAATGATCTATAATATATTATCCAAAATGTCCATCATGGAAAAGTAAAGATTTTATGGAATGTAAGTAAAATCTTGTGTCGCAATTTACAGTTAACAAGAACGGTTACCGAAATTTTGAATCGAGCCCAAATTTACTCCATTAATTATCATAAAAATTCTTATTTCTATAAACAATTGGAATACTTCGTAGTACTTATCGGTGTATATTTTCATTAAAGCATAGTACTCAGTAAGATGATGTAGCACTGAGCACTACATTTGAATGAAAAGACATACCGTCTAGTACTGAAGAGTGTACTATTTATTCATAGAAATAAGGCATTTTATGATGAATATTAGAGTAATTTTAGACTCGCCTTGAAAAGTAACTGAACTTTCGAAACTTTAACATCCATTTATTCACAATCAATGGAAATAAAATAAAACTAATCATATTATATCTTTTTAGATGTCTAATTTAATCTTTCCTTCTATCTGTGAATTGATATCCAGGTGATGGCTATGTCAAGACAATCGGATAAAAAATTTCACTCGAGAGACCGAAAACGAGTCGAGTACTCGGCATGAACTGAGTCGAGTTTGACTCGAAGGACTCGACTTTTTGAAAATTTCTTCATATTTTCTTTCATTGCTTTCTCAGTATCAGTCATCATTATGTTAGATAAATCGAGATAAGACAATGTCAAGTCATTTCAATGAATAGGTTAAGCAAAACATTAAGATAAATAGACAGCGATGAACTGACCATGTCAAATAAACTAGAATGAATGACATACAGTATCATTCATTGTATTCAATACATTATTGGCCGTTCAAAGATTAACTAGAATCCCATGACTTGGTTGATCATCAGTCTATGTAAGTGATCGGTATGTGACGTACAATAGATTTAGTAGTGTATTACATCGTTTCATGATTTATCGTATATAAATGATGAGAAAAGAATAATGATGTTAAAATGATCAAATATTTGATCGCATTTAGAATGTTAGAGTCAATGAAATATGTTATCCATTTCAGCTAATAAAATCGTTTCAAATAGTCTTGGAGCAATTATGAAAAGAAGATATCGATCTGCAGTATTGACAGAGTCTCGCAAGAAGATGATTTAGAGTTATCCGAGACAATGATTCCAATCTCAAAAATCGAGTAAAAAAATTCGAAGAAAATTTCTATTTCTAACGGAGCATCTCCGAAGATCAACAGAAAACAGAAACAGCACATCGAGTCGAAAAAAATATGCGCTTTTTCGATGACTACAGTGGTTTTTGAGCTACGAAGACAGGAGTTTGCCGAGGTGATATCGGAAAAAACCTAAGATTTTCAAATTTCAAATACTGTTTCCAAGAAATCGTCGGAATTTTTGGAGCTGACCGTTTCCTTCCCGTATTGTTCAATGTGGATGTATCAACACTACGACACGAGTGAAACGTATGAATGAATTTCTTCTCATTCTTGATATTAAGAATGTACTTCTGAACATTCGATTTTGGTTCGATGCTCGGCAGCTCGACTCGACGCGGCTCGGGTCGAGTCGAGTCAGATGTTTCTCAGATGCGTATTGAGTCGAGCCAAGTCGAGTCGGGTCGAGTCGAGTTGAATTTTTTCAACTCGTTTCGGTCTCTGATATGTATGATTCAAAACGAAAATCTAATAAAAAAAATTAAAAATTTGCAGTTATTGTTGTACCTGCAACAAGATCATTTTGTTCGAAATAATTTGGATTTATTGCATAAAACGATTCGTTTTAAAAACAGTAAAAATTCATGAAAAACTTCAATATAATTTTTTTTCTTAATAAAATCTTTTTTTTTCTAATAATCATATATTGTATATATATTATACATTTTAACAGCATAACTAGCAAAACCTGAATATTCACCTAAATACTAGAAGATTACAAAAATGTTCCTAATTAAATGAAATATGACGATTCATTTGATTTGCAACTATTATAGCAAAGCTTAATGATGAAGAATTAATTGAAATAAAAGCATTTATTAATGAAAAATGCACTCGATTATTTTCTGGATTTTGATAAATAGTTAAAACATATATTGAGTTAATATAAACATTAAACTTTTTTATTTTCAACTGAAGAAATTTTTTATACATTTCATTTTTACAACAGAAAGAAGAATAAAACTGAAGTTAAATCAATTGAAGCTTTAAGAATTGGTAATTGTGATGGTGGATTAAATGAAGAAGACATTAATGAATATTGATAACTAAAGAGAAAAAAAATTAATTAATTAATTAAATAATAAGATTAATTTAAAATTATTTCTTTTACTAACTTTTATATTAAAATTTTAGCATGATTATGAAGAAAAAATTTAAAAAAAAAGAAGACGATAATAACAATTAACATAATGAAATATTGTATATTTATATTTGCTACTAAAACAAAAATTATATTTAAAAAAAAATTTTTAGTTTATTTAATTCATTACCTGCTTTATGGTGCTGATGCTTTTTCAATAGCATCTTTAACAAGTTTTAATCGCCGATCATATTTATCAATTTCACCTAGTAAAAATTCTTCATCTTTTTGTCCTGGACAATTTCTCGTAAATAATTCACTAAATGCAGCTTCAGCATTTCGCTTTTTATACTGTATTAATGATTGAATTTCACCTAATTTGCCAGCCTAAATCAATAAAAATATATAAATTTAGTTATTAAAATTTTTTTTTACTTACATCGTTGCGATGCTCGTGCAACTCTTTTAGAAATTGAAATAATGGATCTGGATCTTCATCCTCTTCTTCATCTTCATCTTCATCTTCTTCTTCATCTTTATCTTCTTCTTCGTCTTTATCTTCTTCTTCATCTTTATCTTCTTCTTCGTTTTTATCTTCTTCATCTTTATCTTCTTCTTCATCTTTATCTTCTTCATCTTTATCATCTTCATTTTCATCTTCTTCCTTCTGTTGGTCTTTTTCTACTTTTTGTTCTACTTTTTGTTCTTCTTTTTGTTCTTCTTTTTGTTCTTCTTTTTGTTCTTCTTTTTGTTCTTCTTTTTGTTCTTCTTTTTGTTCTTCTTTTTGTTCTTCTTTTTGTTCTTCTGTTTTCAGTTTTTTAAATGCACGTTGATCAGCAGCCGACATTTTTGATATTGTAAAAGGAATGAATATAAACAGATATGTATACATATACATATACATATTTGACTAGTAAAACAAAAATCGGACGAAAGAAAAATCAAATATAGAGAATGAAAAGGAAATATTTACTTATCTAGAATATTCTTCAAATTTTCTTCACAATCTGAATTAGCTGTTTAAGATGGAATAGACTCAGAGGAAATATTTGTAGTATGTTGATCAAATTTATTGATTAAACGTACTAATTAATGTTAGGACTAAAATATAAAAAAATAATTACCAAAAACAAATTGATTTTGTTATTCTTACATCAGCATTTAATGCTCTTTGAGAAGTATATGGTGATCATCTACTACGTCGTTTTACACGTGTATGTAAAAGATCTTCTTCATCAGGTGTTGAATCATCATCTTTATCATTTAAAATAAGTTTTAAAAAATAAAATAAATTCGAGATTATTTATATGAATTTTACCTTGTTTCCGTCTCATCACTATAATCATCAATATCTTGACGAGCAGATGCATTTAATCCTCTTTAAAAATAAAAAATAAAACATTAATAATTAAGACAAAATTGATTTTATATTTACTTCATTGGACTCTCTTTCTACTCCCCCCAAAGTGACTCTTGATTTCCAAGAATCTAATAAAACTCAATAATAAAATTTATTTTCTTTTTAAAAATATTCCACTGGTTCATCATCACCATTTGTTTTTATTGGCATAAATACAGTACCTACATCATCATGTTCATCATTAGGTACTAAAAAAGTTCATTTTATTAATTATATTTATAAATAATAATAACATACATGCTTCAAATTGAAGTGGATAATTTGTTGTATGGGACATACTTTCAGCAACTTCTTTATCATCAAGATCAAATGATGATTGAAATATACCTAAATTAAACAAACAAATTCGTAGAATCCGAGTGGTAGAGTCCATCTTTGTAAGAAAGGAAATCTTTATCATTAATATATAATTTATTAGGACTATTTGTTACATTTGAAGATCCTTGTGGTTGTTGTTGAATAGTTACAGCATCAAATGCTGTTGTATTTCCAAATAAAAGACCATGAAGTGGATTATTTGTTGGTAGTGTATTATTCATTGTTGATGGGAGTGAATGTCGATTAGTAGATTTATTAACATCATGACTTGCAAGTAAAGAACGTGCAGTATCACCATTTGGTAAACCAGTTATATTTGTTAAAGAACTATTTGGTGTTAAAAGATCGTCAATACTATATCTAGAATAGATACTATCGAAAAAAAAAAGTTATGGAAATGAATATTTTTTACGGTGGAAGAGTCATTAAATTACCAACAGTTGGTTCAATATTATTTGTGGTTGTTGTAGATAATGATAAGTCTCCATTACGTAAATATGATATATATGGTTCAAACCGAAAATCTAGTAAAAGAATTTTAACAAAAAATTATAGAAAACGTTTATATTACCTTCAAGAAGATCATCTTGTTCAAAGCACAATGGATTTATCATCATAAAACGATTTGTTTTAAATACAAGTAAAAGTTCTTGAAAAACTCTGATACAAACAATTTTCTTTTTAATAAAAAGACGGGCTTTTATAATCATACTTTGTATGAATACTATACATTTTAACACCATAACTAAGTAAATCTGAATGTTCACCTAAAATATCAGAAAATTTTTAAAAATGTTTGTAATTAAATTATATATTACGAGTTATTTGATTTGCAGCTGTTATAGCAAAACTTAATGATGGAGAATTAATTGAAGTAAAAGCATTTATTGATGAAAAATATGCTCGATTATTTTCAGCATCTTGATAAATAGTTAATACATACATTGACTAAGTATTAAAAAAATCGATACTTTTTTTTTTAAATTACCTTTTAATCAAAAACAAAAAATTACATTTCTATGTATATCAGAAGGAACAAGAAAATGTGAAGTTAAATCAATTGAAGCTTTAAGAATTGGTAATTGTGATGATAGATGGAATGCAGAATCGATCGATGAATAATGAAAACTTAAGAAAAAACAAGAAAATTAATTAATTAATTAAATAATTAGATTAAATACCGAATGATTTGTAAACAACTCCAATTTGTACAACTCTAGACTTAAAGTTCTCGATTTTGATCACAACCTGATTAGGCATGCACCAAAGCCAAAACGCTTGGTTTTGAAGGTATGGGTTTTGATCTGGTTTTAATATTTGAGTATTGGTGTTGATATGATTTTAGTAGTTTTCGTATTGGTTTTGAGATAGTTTTGATATTTGATGGTTTTGGTTTTGGATTTGGTCTTGGTTTTGAAACATTAACAGAAATCTGATTTTGTAAGGATGAATCCATAATGCATTCCTGTAAACCTCATTATATATATTTCCTTAGAATGAGCTATGGATATAATATCATATATCGATCAAAAGTAGATAATTTATAAAACCTGTAAGCTTAAAAAGCTTAAATTACCTCTTCAAGCCCTTCTGATAATTTTATTTTGACAGGTCAGTCGACATATTGAATTGAAAAGAAATTCAGGAGAAAGTCTTCTCTTTCATCTATGCGGAGTTGGAAAGAGTTTGTTTTTCTTTAGAAATAATTTGTCTCATTTTGGATAGTTTTCTTCATTTAAATAAACATCTATAGCACATCAGTAGAGTGGTGCTCATATGGATAACATTTTTAATTGAAACAGATTCCGATTGAGCTGACGGTATTAACTAGCGAAATCAGCGAAATTTCGTTCACATAGGATGTGGAAGAACCTGCATTAAATTGTATAGAACATCGGTGTTTAGATATGTGCTTGAAATATCTTCAACAAGAGTATATTCAGAGGAAAAATGTGTCACCATGAAGCTGTCTAAAACAGGATTTACGAAGTTTCTCTAAAGTATATAGGAAAAAGTTTAGTTCATACAAATAACCGAACTAAAATCAATGGTCCTGAAAGGTTTCTTTGATAGTATAGAATTTTGATTTTTATGCGCTTACTTAAGCCAGAGATTTGTAATATTTACTGCTGTATCAAAAGTTCGATTCAAGACAACATATATAATCAAGCTTACAGGAAAGCATTATGGATTCATCCTTACAAAATCAGTTTTCTGTTAATGTTTCAAAACCAAGACCAAATCCAAAACCAAAACCATCAAATATCAAAACTATCTCAAAACCAATACCAAAACTACCAAAACCAATACTCGAATACCAAAACCGGGCCAAAATCAAAACTTCAAAACCAAAATTTCAAAACTAGTTTTGGTTTTGGTGCGTGTCTAAACCTGATACTGTATAACGCCATAATTGTGTTCTATTAATAAAGATTAAAATTTAACATAATTATTTGTTTTTTTGTCTACTAACTCTTGTGTTAAATTTTTATGATCACCAAGAAAAAATAATGATGAAATTGGTCGTCCTTCATGTGGTATTCAAAGATGTAGATAACTAAATCAAAAAAAGCTTTAATCAATATTTTAATATTTTATTAATAAATTCGACTTTACCGGCATGTTTTTGGTTGATCAAAATTAATTGAAAAAAATTTTATTTCACCTTTATCTGTTCCTGTTCCTAATGCTGTACCATCCGGTGAGAAACATACACATGTGACATTCTAAAATTTATTAAAAAAAATTAACTTCATAAAGGCTTCAAATCAGGAGAAAGGTACGAGTCCATCGGGTCCATGTCGACTTTGCTTAAAATTTCATGAAAACTTACACCACTATTATCTTTATATGTCAATCGACCATTTTCAATTTGATTTAAATTTAACATATTTTTTGATAAGCATGATTATGATGTAATAGCACCATTAAATACCTCAACCTAATTAAAATCATATTTTATATTATGAAACTCTAAAAAATAAACAAACATGTGAACCAGGTATAACATTCATTATAGTATATGCATCATTATCTTTATTATCATTATGATCATGTATAGAATAACATCATGATAATGTTGATGGTGATCGATTATTTGAATATTGTAAATTAATGTATATCTATCATAAGAAAAAGATTTTTTTTTTATTAATTCTTTTTTCAAATCCTGCTTTAGTTCATTGAGTTCATCAACTTTTTCTATTCGATAAATATGTAAATGTGATGCTTAATCAACATATGTCAATAGAATATTATGAGAAAATGGAAATCCTAAATCATGAATATCATTCGAAAATGAAGGATCTATTACAAATTGAAAATCCACTTGTTTATTAAAAAATTAAACGTAAATAATAGCATTACCACTTTGTTATTTAAAAAAATACAAATAAATTTAATTAAACGAAAAATTTCACTTACGTATAAGAGTATAAGCAACAAAATATCTATAGGTAGATATCAAATGAGTAGAATAATAACACAATTTCCAATTATGATCAATAATTGATTGAGAGAAAACTTTATGAAATAAAAATTGTATTATATTTCCATTTGAAATTTTTCATCCCCAATTTTCGTCGAAATAAAATATTTTATTTCTGCGTACTTAATTAACATCATTTATTGGTGTTGTTGCAGCAAGTATATTTTTTCCATTTGTTAGTTGTATTTGAGTTTCATGATGTAATATTAAATGTGTAGATTGAACTGACTTATTACTATCTTATTTACTAAATATAACTACAAGAAATAGTTTTTTTTAATAAAATTTTTATTTCTCACATCTATTGATGGTATTTATTATTGAAATTGAATGTACTAGAAATAAAAAATTATAAATAAAAAATGAATAATAACTCACATATTCATATTTTTGATAATTTAAAAAATATGATCTAAAAAAAATTCATTATTGTTCGACAAGTTTTAAAAATAATGATAACAATAAACAAACAATATCTGAAATAAAACAAGAAAAAATTCTTTTATAATTATTTTCATATTTTATATAAATTCTTAGATCATTATATCTCCGATATTTTTCTGATTGAAGTTTACATCTAACATTTATTTTATTTATAATATTAACTAGTTTAACTTGTTTTACAATGGGCCTTATTGTTGGTTTAGATATAGTACCATTTAAACAACAATGTCCATTATACTCTTCATTTAAAATTGAAATTTTAACAACTATAGAAAGTAATTGGACAGTTAGAATAATACCATTATCAGAGAGATTTAATTCATAATCAATATGTGACTCTTCCCAGTCAAGCGTCAATGTGAAAAACATGCATGTATATATGCGAGAAAATTTATAAATTACGCATGTGTTTGCATTATAGTTTTAATCTCCTCAAATTTTGCGCACGAACACGCAGTTTTCTTTAAAAATATTTAAATCTTGTGTTTAAACGCGAGGCAATAGCACTTGTAGAGTAATGCATGTTGGAATTACATGCATGCGAATGCGGATTTAAAACTCCTTAAATAAAACATGTAATAACAAGCGAAATTTCGGTCTTGCGCTTGCTTGCAAACGATATTCTTGCAGATTTCTACAAGAAATATGACTCGCATGAAGACGCAACAGTATTATCTGCATGCACATGCATTATGAGTGCAATCTTGTTGAATTCTACGTGTAAATGCAAAAATAGATGTCTTCAGATAATTATGCTTACATGCAATATGTACCAAAACTAGTTCTTTAATCTTTTTGTTTGAATGAAGTCAGGAAAATGTATAATCGGAAAATTGTGTGCATCTAGAGGGATCTTTCTGCGCGCTTTCTTGTCTTTTCCGGCGTAGGTGCATGCTAATGTGATATATTTCATTGTCTGAACAACGCGTACTTCGAGTTTGACATGGTTTATGTATGTATAATATTCTTCAGTTTTATTTTATTATTCAATTAAAAGACTGCAGTCGTACTACGACGATTCAACGAGATTAGGAAAATTAGGAAAAGATATAACAGTCATTACTTGTCAACATAAACTGGTTTTTTTATTCAAATCACGCCAACAATACAAAAGGAATTTTGTTGTTTTGAAATAACAACAACGAATGTTGGAACATCTAGAAGTTTCTTAGACACAGAAAATGTAAGAATTTTTCAATAACAACAGATTGTATAAGAAGAAAGGTTTTCTATCTCGAATAACTATTGAAAAAGATTCAATACGTTGTTGGACAATATTGGTCAATAAAAAACCAGAATCATCCTTGTTTCTTCTTTATCGATATTTGAATAGAGAATAAGAGTACATTCTCATCCCCGAGATAACATTCATCTCTTACATTAACAACAATAATAATTAAGAGGAAACTCAATCTATTACATCGAAAAATGCTTCAACATATGGTAGAAAAAATGAGGAGTTTCGGAACGATTATGTATATCTATATATACAAGCAGAGCACCTGCGTTTTCCCCTGATACTCCAAAACAAAGTTATATGTCGAATCGTTGAAGACATCTGCATGTATCAAACGATCGTCAATTAATTGAAAAACTTATCTTACATCTAGATGACCGACATATATCTTAGCACACACTGTTTCGTGTACTTAAGAAACTTTTAAAGTGTAAATTATGTTTACTTTTAGGTTAAAAAAATTATGAACTTAGTTTTGCTTATGAGCTGATAAAAATGTGATAAGATGCTAGCATGGAAACGCGTGAATTATAAAGAAATGTAGTATTTTTTCTTTTTATGTCACAGAAAACAGCACCTACAGGTTCATGCGTGCAATAATTTTCACTTGCATGAATCTGCATGTGCTATCACTATAATAAATTACATTGTTTTCTTGACGCTAATGAGTGTCGACTAGTGGTCGAATGGTAAGAGTGTTCGTTCAATAAGATGATATGTCAAGTTCGAATCCAGATGTAAGTATTATCTTCTCAATATCTAATGCATGTAAGTGCGTGCAAGATATATATTTCATGCATGTACACGCCAACACACCGATTATATGACATCATTGCTTTTTAAGTTTTTTTTTACTAAACTTGCATGATCATGCAAAACCTATACTCGCGTAAATTTGCGTGAAAACTTTCGGAACTTTTTGCGTGCACACGCCAGGATAGTTTACGTTGTGACGCGTCCACACGCATGCAAGTTTATACAAATACATGCGTGTGCACGTGGCCATTGTCATGCGTTTACATGCGATTTTTTAAAAATCACGTTTGACTGGGTTGTACATTCTATAATGTTTTTACATTTATTTATTGTATTATGATAGAATTTTTTTTGTATTATTTAATAGTGATCAAAGAATTGTTAGAAGGAGTGATCGATGTTTGCTCATTCTATGGTGAAAATAAAAAAAAGGCTCTCATTTCTATAATTTTATTTCTCCAGATTTTCAATATCTGTCATACTTAGAGGCGTGCGAAATCCGTTCCAAGCATCGGAACCGAAAAATAGAATTTTACTAGAACCAGAACCGGGACCAAATGGTATAACTTTATCAAGATCGTTCTTAGCGAAATATGTTATCAATTAAACCAATCAAAACTAACTTCAAAGGAAGTGGCCAAAAAATCTGACATTCGTCAAATGAATTAACAAAAAAAATATGAGTATTTAAGGTGTTTTTATATTTAATGGGAATACATTTTGAAATAGTACTCTCTATGTCTGGATCGGAACTGGATTCGGGACCAAAGAATAAAACTTTATCGGGACCGGAATGGAATCAAATGAAATTTTACGGTATCGGGATCAGGACTAAAAGCGGTTGGTTCCGCACATCTTTAGTCATACTCAATTTTTGGATCTTAATCAATGTATTTATATTAATGAACATCTTCTTTTTCAAGTTTTTCAAATACTTTTCGAGCATTATGAATATCCATTTAGATCATTTTCAAAACTAAATAAAAATAAAATACATAAAATTTAGTAGAGTTTGTATACTTACCAATTGTTATATCACTAATCACAATTATTGCATAAGTATTGAATGTACATAATTCAATAAAACAAACAAATGTTGAATTTAGTATTTCCATTGATTGAAATTCTGCAGCTAATTGACTGAAAAAAATTTTTAAATAAAAAAATTTCTTATCGAAATTTCAAACCTTCAAACTAATTTAAATTATTTAATTATATGGGTAATATTCTCAAAATGGATGTGAATCATGATGTTCTTTACGAGTACAATGTGAAATAACCTATTGAATTATTTGTAGAAAATTTTTTGACATATGAATTAAGAAATTTTATACCAAAAAAGACGCTTTTTCATATACAAGAATATCATCAGTACTAACAGTTTCTATTAATATTAGGTACCAAATGATAAACAACTTGTGACTATACCTAAAAGATTCATCAAACAATATAATCTTATCGAATTTTTTATTTATTAACTTTATAAAGTGTTTCATCCCATATAAGATGTAGGAAAATATGAACATTGTAATGGTTTAGATATATCTTTTAAAATATTTTCTCGTTCAGCAATTACCTATTAGAAAAAAAAAAAAAACTTTTATTTAAATAAATAAAAGAAAAACTCATTATACTGTTGCACGCATATCAGCAGATATTAAATCCATTTTATGGATGAGACAAAAAATTCTTGCTTTACATGAATATTGTATAATAGATTCAAGACATGATTGATAATAATGTAAATCCTTTTAAAAAAATGAAAATTATTTTAGTTAATAGTTTTTTTTGACAAACTTTATCTAATTCTTGACTTTGCACATCAAATACATAAATAAGAACTTCAACATTTTTAAATATATAATCTTTTTTTGTTGCAAAATAGCATTTCATAAATGCTTCTTGACCATCGTCATCCCATAAATTAATATTGAATTATCAAGAAAACAAGCATAGAATTGTTCAACATCCACTTACAAAGAAAAAAAAATGTTTGAGTAAGAGTTGTCGGATCAAAAATTTGAAAATCAGAAACTTTTTCTTCGAAATCAGAAAATGATCAGAAAATTTTTTAGCAAAACCAGAAATTAATCAGAAAGGGCAGTTTTTGCAAACTAGGAGCTACTATGTTGACGTGCTAGTATTCAATGCTTTACTGGATTTATGTTCATTGACTCGTACTTTATTTTCAAAAATATTTCGGCTTACTAGAAGTTCGCCAATATGAATTTTACAAACTGGATTTTTGCCAGTATACCCCTGAATTTTCACCAATTGGTGAATATCCAGGATACTTCCGCCAATATTGGAGTGTCCGTCAATTAGTACTATCTTCATACTGTGATACCTTCATACTCTTTTGTATTCATTGGCGAAAGTTCACTGGACTTTCGCCAATAATTGGCAAAACTTATTGGCGAGAAGTGGTAACGTCGATATTTCACCATGAAGATGATACCATAATCACATTGTTTAACTAATAAAGGACAACTAAGAAAGCGTTGAGTGTTGAACTCTTTCTCTGAAGTGAAAATTCGTTCGCAAAGAGACCACCAAAACAAACCATATATACACATATAAACTATGTAGGTAAGAAATTCAAGGACAGAAAAAACAAGTGTAAATGATACGAATTCTCTATTATTGTTCGTATTTTCCACTTTTTTCAAATTTGCTTTAACAAGTATGTTTGAGTTAAAATATGTTTATAAAATTATCATAGACATAATTAGTATTCATTCTTATTTTGGTCTATTATGACGATGGGTTATAATCTCATCTTAACTTCACTAACAAAACTGTCATTTAAATAGTTTAGAATTCGGAAAAATTAGGGAAAAGTGCCAAAAATCTGAAAAAATCAGACGGTCGGAAGAAAATCAGAAATATATTCAAATTTCAGAAACTTTTCTGACTTTTCAGAAAATTTGTCATCCCTGGTTTGAGTCAATTTTTTAACATATTTTTCACACTTGTAGCACCAAAACGTTGTGGATCTTTTGCACTATAATTAACAAATATAATCGAACATATCGATGTTTCTCTACCATCATTTTTATTATTAATAAAATCAGCGAAGAAATCCAATGAACAATTTTCTAAAGATTGTTTTTCAAATTTTCATCTTTCTTCAATTATTTTTTGGCTTTTATCGGTGATATATTGTAAACAAACTGATATTTTGTCAAGACACGAATTTTTCTGGGCATTTTAATATTATTTATTTTGCGTTCTTTTCATTCTATCGATTTGTATTGGTCAAAATAAATAGTTATACTAAAGTAATAATAATACAGAGATAGATGGCGTGAAGGAGCTATTTAAGTAAGAAGTTTGATGAATGATTAAATATAAATGGATAAACATCCAGATTATAGAAATTCATGGCGATAATTTCATATAATTGAAAATAATTTTTACCGTTTGATATTAATAAATGCATATCAAGTCCGGTTAATAGATATTATTGATGAAGGTTTTAACAATATATTTTATTATTACAGCCATTCTGATTGGAATTTTTTTTACTAAATGAACTATTCTATCTGAATATTGATATTTAACCTTATACAATGGTATAAACAAAGTTCTTGTATTTCTTTAATGCAAATAAATGTAATAAACTATGTGGTTCATTTCTGATGTAATACATTGTATACATCTTTGATTTCAATCATTTCTGACTGTTAAGGTGGCAATGAACAATAATTGATAGTTGCTGATATTTGATGAGTCATTAATGCTTCTCTTAGCTTACCTTTTTTTTTCGTGTACAATACGAGCAATGTTTTCATAAATGATAGTGACATCTCAATGTTGAGGAAGAAATGATTTTTGTCGAATAATCAGTGATCGATTAAGATGTTCCATCGCTAGATCATATATTGATCAAGTTTAAAATAAAGATTACCAAGATTATTATGAGATGCTTCCATTTCAATATGATCAATAACTAAAATCGGTTTTCTTTTGATAGACTTTTAATGTTTAAGAAAATTTCTTTTGTTGTTTATAAAAAAATGACAATATTATTATTAGAATAAGCCATTAGTAAATGATTTTCACTATTTGATTGTCGAAAGAGTTCGATTGCTTTATTATCAGATTCTAATACTTTCTTTTGATCATATTTTTATAGATAAATTAAACCAAAATAAATATATAAATTACTAATATGAAAATAATTCCATAAATCTATTTGCAATTGCAACTGAAATGCTTTATTAAAATATTGAAAACTTGTATTATAATCTTCTTCAACTTAATTCACCCATTAATCCTTTCAGGCACACCGTACTCCATAAATATACTGCAGTTTTTTCAAGTTTCTTAATCTTTGAATAACTTGCGAATGCAAAAAGATATTGAGAAGCTATAAATTATGAACCCTAACAACAATGATAGGGAGGAATAATCGAAAAAATAAGACGTTCCGTTTATTTTGGGCAGGGAGATATATTCACTAATATGGATAGGTTCTCGTTTATGACCACATGAATACATAGGTACAAAAAAACCTGTTGAAAAAATCTTTTGCGATGCAATACATTCAATTCGAATGAAAACTGTTAATAAGTGAAAATTTAATCCTTTACATTGTGATTTTTTTATAAGAACGATTGAATATTTTTTGGATACATGACTCGAGATGACTCGACTGTTTGAGTCGAATCAACGTCACTCCCTGGTCTAGTCCGAGTCTATAACAAAATGCGACTCAAGTCCAAGTCAAAATTTGGACTAGCCTAGTCCTGATTCATTTAGAATGGAAGATTATTTAGTACAAACAAATGTGAAAATATTTCTCTTGGAGTCAAATTATTTCTTGTCTGAGAACATATTTTACTAGCTCCTACTAAAATAAAAAA